AATCGAACTTTATAAGCATGGTTCTAAAAGTTTATACAAACAAAAGTTTAATATGCTAGAATCTTAGGATATTGGTCAATATTTTTTTTCTTCCTTCTAACCTTTCCTTTTTCTAGCACCAGTGCAGAAAACATTTCAAACTCTTTTCTCATCTCTGTCAAGAGTGACACCTAGTGGTGATTCTATGGAGCTGCATGTTCAAGTTAAAATTTCTGGAAAAGAAAATTCTGCCCCCACACTTCCTTTCGGCATGTACTAAGTCAGCTCTTCCAGCGTCTGCAGCCTCCTGTATTGTCATATTTATTTTGAACTTTGCCAGCCCCACAAATTACACAGAAAATTTCTTAAAAGGGATATGTAGGGGGCTGGAGCAATAGCGCAGCGGGTAGGGCGTTTGCCTTGCACGCGGCCAACCCGGGTTCAATTCCCAGCATCCCATATGGTCCCCTGAGCACTGCCAGGAGTGATTCCTGAGTGCAGAGCCAGGAGTAACCCCTGTGCATTGCCAAGTGTGGCCAAAAAGCCAAGAGAGAGAGAGAGAGAGAGAGAGAGAGAGAGAGAGAGAGAGAGATGTAGATCCCTTAAAGCATTTCCTTAAAATGGGTAAAATAGGTTCCAGCCCCACGAATCACACAAAATTGTTCCTTAAAATAGATAATGTCTACATAGAGTACAAATATATAGAAAGTCATATAAGTGATATAAACATATATGAATATCTTGCTAAACACATACCAGTGAATAAATGTTAAATAATCCTGCTCTGCTCTGAGAGTTTTCAATCTAAAGGAGGATATAGTCCAGAGAATGAGAAAATACATTAGATGTAAATGCCCTATGTGGTAGGAACCTGTTGGAGGAGCACCTTATATGACATGGAATTAGCTCTCAGGTGGAAAAGTCTCACCTGAGAACAGAAGGGAGCAATGGAGTAGGAATTAGTGCAGGGGAAGTAGGGGTTGGATTTTCTCTAAGCCATTTATTCTCAGCAGGGACATAATACCCCAAAAGGGGAGAACATTTGTGCTTGACTAGTGAAAAAATCTTAACTATTGCAACATTTGGTGACCATGCAGAGCTCAACCTTAACAAAAATTCATTCCTTAATATTTCATTGGGGTTAGGGCGTTATTTAGAAAACATCTGAAAGTTCCCTCAGACAAATACTGGATGATCTCACTCAAATATATAGAGGGGGGAAAAGTGGGAAATAGACCTTTTTTGTAGATGACAGACACTTGACCTTGGATTACAAAATTGAAATTACCAAGCAGTTTGGAGAGGGCAGGGAGACAATGAAGAAGTGGACTGGAAGCAAAATAATGACAATGGGCAATTTGGTGGTGGTGAGGTGCATTACCTGTACATTGAGACTATAAATGTTAACAGTATGGTTGAGTCGAGATTCAAACCCCAGCGCCCCATGTGGTCACTGGGCATCATCAGGAGTGACCTGAGCACAGAGTTAGAGTAAGCCCTGAGCACCACCCTTACCTTCTTCCCAAAAATAAGGAAAGGAGATTGATAAACACTGCATAGAGATATAAGGTGAAGGTAGAGAGAATGTAGAATTTTAAAATATTAGAGTAGTTACCACTCCTGGGAATATATTCCAGAGAGGCAAAAAAGTATAGTCGAAGTGACATCTGCAATTGTTTGTTCATTGCAGCACTCTTTACAATAGCCAGAATCTGAAAAAAACCTGAGTGCCCAGGAACAGATGACTGATTAAAGAAACTTTGGTAGTTTACACAATGGAGTACTATGTAGCTGTTAGAAAAGACGAAGTCACGAAATTTACATACAAGTGGTACTACATGGAAAGTATCATGTTAAGTGAAACGACTCAGAAAGAAAGGGATAGACATAGAAAGATTGCATTCATCTGGGGAACATAAAGTAACAAAATAGGAGACTAACACCCAAGAATAGCCGACATTAGGACCAGGAATTTTACTCCATGGCTCGGAGGCCAACCACACATACTAGGAGAAAGGGGAGCTCAGATAGAGAAGGGAGCACCAAATAAAGAGTATTGGGAGGATCCTCCCAGGATGGGAGAAGCATGCTTAAAGTAGACTATAGACCAAACATGATTGTCACCCATTGCCTCTTTTGCAAACCACAACACCCAATAAGAGAGAGAGAACAAAAGAGAATGCCCTGCCACAGAGGAGGTGGGGGGGATGGGGGAGATGGAGGGTGGGAGGGATACTGGGATCCGTAGTGGTGGGAAATGGGCACTGGTGGAGGGATGGGTATTTGATCATTGTATAATTGAAACCCAAGCACAAAAATTTGTAAGTCTACAACTATACCTCATGATGTCTCATTAATAAAAATTTTTTTTAAAAAAATTAGAGTAGTTGAAGTAAGAGTTTGGAAGAAGCAAAGGGGGTGAAAGTACTAAAAAGAGGCTGGACACAAATTTTAAGAAAATTAAACCTGAAAATGCATATGGACCTCAATTATGTAAATATTTTAAGTAAAATTGGACTATATAAATTATTTACTGAAGATTTTGCTTTCTTTTTATGGTGAATGTGTACTTTGTGTTGTAGTCATGCACTGAAATAAATCATTGGGTTGTAAATATTTTTTAGAGATGCTAGGGACCTTTGTTAAAATATCTTTTTCTGTCTATCATACTGGGATTTATGTAGGCTTATATTATAGTCTCTAGAATAGCACCATCATAAGGTGGGTGCTTATTCATAATTGACCTCTACAGAATTTGTCTAATCTTTATTTCAGGAATTAAAAATATGAGAATAAAATTGTTTAGGATTTGGTTTTGTTCTTTTGGTTTCATAACTGGAATAAAATGAGAACAGTGTACTATTTAATAACCACTATTATTTTCTTTCTCATCAATTGAAAGAGATTAACTTTCATTTTTATTAGAAAATTCTTTGCAAAAATTTTAATTATTTTAATACCCAACATCCTGTTAACAATGAACTCAAAGCTAATTCCATGCTTTTGATGAATAGTATAAGCATAATTTTAAGGTTAAAGAACTAAAAAAGTAATTACTGTGCAATACTTTTATGTTTTAATATTTTTCTACCATTCTTCTAGCTAACTTCACATAATAAACCCTGATTTAAATGTCTGATATGCTTTTACAGAGGTAGCATTTTAGTAAATTTTTTATTATTTAAAATTAAGTCTAAAATACAGAAGTGGTTCTAACTGTGGTTCTATTGGCAAACTATCTGAGTTCATATCCTGAGTTAAATCAGTTTAAGTTTAAATGTTACTAACTTTCTTTTGTAAACTTGGGGCGATATATAAAATACGACATCTTATCCTCTCTAGCTCTCTTAGCAAATCAAGACTCATAATAGAACAACTACATGAGATTGCGAGTACTAAATGAACTAGTTATGTAAAGCACTTAGAAAAGTGCCAGGTCCATCCTCAGTACTCAGTAATGTTACCTATTATTATTTTGAACCCCTTATTGAGTAGTTTCAAAAAAAACATTCATTGAGTGCTTCCTGTGTACCACAAAGAGAGCTACTTGTGAAATTCTTAGTACATCTTGTGTAATAGGTCTTTAGAGCCTGAGTCAACATCTTTGCAACTTTTTTTTTTGTAGGAGTACTGCTATTTATTCAGCCACTGATTAGCTGATTGAATTCGGCATGAACTGCACCTTAATTTTTTTTATTTTTCTTATTTTTATATTTATTTATTGAATCACTGTGGGAAAAGTCACTAAGCTTTCAGGTTTAAGTCATACATTGATCAAACACCTTTCCCTTCACCAGTACTCATTTTTCACCACCAAGAACCCCAGTATACCCCCCCTCCCACCCTCCAAATGCCTGTGAGGCAGATGATTTCCACTTAACTCTTCTCTACATTGATTACATTCATTATTTCAACAAAAGATGCACCATTATTGTTTAGAATTTCCCCCCAAACAATCAGAATTGCTGAAAAGGCATTGTGAAATATTTTGTTTTCTATAGCTGGTTATAAGAATCATATAATGTCACACGGCCACGATTTTGGATTTCTGCAAAGAGCCAGATAATTACGAGATTGGTTTCTGTGTGTCTGGTGTTATGGCCATCACTGTGCTGGAAAGCTGCTTGGGGGGGGTGGGGGGTTGTGTAACTCGTGACTTTGTATCATTATTGTTGTGTTTCCTGTATTTCCTGTCTTTAAGTTCACTTATTTTTTTCAAGTAGGATATTTTTTACTTTTGGGGGGTGATGACACCTGGCATTACTTGGCCAGCTGTGTGGGCTTCACTGGTCACCAATGGCAGTGCTGTGCTGTGTGGGCTAAGTGGCACTTAGCACCAGAGCCCAGGACTCTACCCTACAGTGTAGCATGGGGAGGGGTGTTCTTGCTGGGGTTCCAGCCCTTTGAACTTTCTCCTGTGAACGTCATGGATTTGGGTTTCAGTTGGGACCACTCCTAGTGGTGTTCAGGGGCTGTTTGCAGCTCAGAGCTGGGGACCAGGTGGCAAAGGGGATGGAACTTGGGCCTCCTGCAACCAAAGCATGTTTTCCAGCCTATGGAACTATCTCTGGATTGAAGATTCTTAAGAGAAAGCACACCTAGGGCAGTAAATGGGAAAATGGACTCCTTATCAGAATTTTCATTAGATTCTAGGATTTCTTTATGATATTGCTTCATCAAAGAGACAGTAGGGGAAAAGGAACAGTTACTTATGACTTCCTTACTTTTTAAATTTTTTTTTCTTTTTTTTTCCTTTATTTTATTTTATTTTTTTTAAAGTTGTAGATTTACAATTTTTTGTGCTTTGGTTTCAGTTATACAATGATCAGATACCCATCCCTCCACCAGTGCCCATTTTCCACCACCATAGATAATATCCCTCCCACCCCCATCCCCCCATCCCCCCTGTCTCTGTGGCAGGGCAATCCCCTGTGTTCTCTCTCTCCTTTTGGGTGTTGTGGTACTTTTTAAATTTTTGACTAAAGCAAATTAAAAACACTTTTAATGTTTATATTTTTCAGAACATGTCTTCAAAATTCAAAAATACAAAACGAATCGAAGGACTTGATGAAAATGTATGGTAAGTATCTTAGAATAAGCAATAATAATGTGGTGAGGCTTTTTCCTTTATTTTTTATATCTGTAGCTAGAATTATTGGCCTTATGGTCTATAAGTAAAACCACTTATTTTAGTTCCTCTATTAAATAGAAATGAAAGGAATTTGAGAATCCATACACTGATTTATTTATTTTTCAAAGCACCAATTCCCATGCTAGTTACTGGAAACAGGGGTAAAAGGAAAAATATGATTGATATCTCATCAGTAAATTTTTCTTATTGGCTCATTATTTATTTAAAAAAATGATGCTTTATTAAGAGCTTAGCAGTAGCTAGAATGATTGAGAAAATATATCTGTCGCTATAATAATGGTATTGTGAAATTTATATTTGTTAGAAGCATTAAGATTTTGTGCATTTAGCAATAATTATAGCAGGTTAAAAAAGTCATTTTATATAAGATAAATTTTTGTCACCCTTTTAAATCATCAAAGTCTTTTGTAGACAATGGGGGATAAAGATCTTGGTTTTTAATTAGAGTATTTCTTAATATAAGTCTCTTTTAATCTTAGGATTGAATTTACCAAGTTGGCTGCAGACCCCTCTGTTGTGAATTTAGGCCAAGGGCTTCCAGATATTTCCCCTCCTGTATATTTAAAGGAAGAATTATCAAAGATCGCAGCAATTGATTGCCAGAATCAGTATACACGTGGCTTTGTAAGTAGAGGAGGGGTGTGAACTTGTTTTTTTGTATTGCATTGTGGGAATGTACTTTCATCACTTACATGCAAGTGACTTTCTGGGACTAAATGTCCCAATGTGAGGGGAGGAACCCACCCTTGCCCTTATCTCCTAGGATAAGCCTGCCTTCCTCTCCTCCGCACAACTTTCTTGGCCCTTTCATATTGTTGGTGCAGGACAGAATCCTATGGTCAAAAAGAAGGGAGAATAATCTCGAGACTATTCTGTTAACACTGGTGCTACTTCAGCATTAGCCTTTTATTTAATACTCTGAGTTTCTAATAAATTATTTTCTTCCTCTCTACCTCATCCTACCCCTAATACTGCGACTAATGCCCAGGATATGCAGAGATTCCCTGGATTCCAAATAAATATATAAATAAATTTTTTAAAAATACAATACATTGCAAGGTTATAGGCCCATGTTGACTATATACAAATCAGTTGTATGGAGGCTGGAGCAATAATATAGTGTAGGGCATTTGCTTTGCACATAGCCAACCCAGGTTGGATCCGGGCATCCCATATGGTTTTCCAAACCCGCCAGAAGTAATTCCTAACCACAGAGTCAGAGTAAACCCTGAGCACCATCAGGTATGGCCCCAAAACAAACAAAAAATCAATTGTATGTCTATATACTTAAAATTCCTCATTGAAAAGTAAAATTTCCTAAACTAGCATAATAGCAGCCAAATCGACAAATACTTAAAAGAGATTGTTTCTGTTCTTGTTTTCATGTCAGGGATTAGCATATAGCCTCATACATTCAAGGCATACTTCGCCACTGAGCCACATTTCCAGATCTAGATTAAATATTCTTAGGATGTCAGTTCTCCCTAAATCCATCCATAGCAGAGTCTGGCAAACTCTGGCCTCTGGGCTATATTCTACCTATGCCCAATTTTGACAAATCCATCTTTGATGCACAAATTAAAAACCTTATTTTGAATTGAAGTGGAAAACTTGGAAACAACAAAAGGTTTTTCCCTCATAAAACCAAGGTTTAACAACCAGCCCCTTTCTTCTCCTGGAATGTGATCCCATATACTTATACTTAGGTGCTTTCCAAACAAAAAGCCAGGTAACCAGCATTTAGATACTCACTTGAAATAATAGAATATCACTGGAGGACAATTCCTTTCCACCCTCCACCATACCTCCCCCGACCCTCCCCCCCAAAAAAAGTAGATGGGCAGAAGAAAAAAATTTATATCAACATTAACACCAAATAAGACAGGATAAAAGGAAATAATAAAAAAGTAACATTAGAAAAGATGATGGAAGAGAGAGAATCATGGTGTCATAAAACTCCCTGCAGGTGTCAGACTTTGTGATTTTATACTCAATTCCCTCGTGAAAGTTGTTCTCCTACATAACTGCTGCTTGCCTACTGATCGATTTTAATCATATTCCACTTCCTCCTGATATTTGTTTTTCTTTGGGAAAGTTGTGTTTGGTCTCAACAGTCCATGGGCTACATAATACCTCCATCACCATGGAGGGAGAGTTCAGGGTATACACAGATGGCGCCTTATTTTACCGGGGAGAAAATCTAATTCTATTGTATGCTTTAATTGCTTTCAAAAATGGAGAAATTAAATATGATGTAGTTTCTGTCAAAAATGTATTGATATTGAAGTTGATTTCTTTTCAAAGCAAATATCTTAAAATTTTGTATTCTAAAATCAATGAAGAGAATGTATTCAGTCAATGCCACATCTTTATCACCATTCATGCAGAAACCTGCCTAACATAGAAAAAAAGGTTTAATTTATTTCCATTAAAAATATTTTCCCTTTGAGTAATTACAAAATAAAACCCATTTTGAGCCAAAGTGATGGAACAGCAGATAGGGCATTTGTCTTGCACACAGCTGATCTCAGTTTGATCCCCAGAACCACCTATGATCGAACCCACCAGGAATGATCCCTGAGTGTAGAACCAAAAGTAAGCCCTGAGCACTGCAGGTGTGGCCACCAAACCAAAGTAGGATAAAACACATTTTTAAAAATTCTTGCTTTCTAGAATCAGTAACCTCAAAGTTGATCCCATCATCAGATTCAGTGTTTTCTCTCTCTTTTTTTTTTTTTCAATTAGGGTCATCCATCACTTGTGAAAGCTCTTTCTTCCCTGTATGGAAGGTTTTATAAAAATCAAATCGATCCAAATAAAGAAATCCTTGTGACTGTAGGAGCATATGGATCTCTGTTTAGCACCATTCAAGGTTTAATTGATGTGGGAGATGAAGTAAGTATGTTCACATTACCATTTTAACTATGTTAATCATTATCATTTGCCCTGCCTCTGTATCTTTTATGTTCTTTTTAAAGTTGTTTTTGGGCTGGAGCGATAGCACAGTGGTTAGTGCATTTGCCTTGCACGCAGCCAACATGGCCAGCACAGATTCGATTCCCAGCATCCCATATGATCCCCAGAGCACCGCCAGGAGCAATTCCTGAGTGCATGATCCAGGAGTAACCCATGGGCATCACCGGGTGTGACCCAAAGAGCAAAAAAATAAATAACTAAATAAATAAAGTTGTTTTTAAGGGGCTGGAGTGATAGTATAGCAGGTAGGGTGTTTTCCTTGCATGCAGCCAACCCGGGTTTGATTCCAACATCCCATATGCTCCCCTAAGCACCGCCAGGAGTAATTCCTGAGTGCATGAGCCAGGAGTAAACCCTGTGTATCACCAGGTGTGACCCAAAAAGAAAAAACAAATGAAGTTGTTTTTAAGGTATAATGCATAAGCAGTAAAGTTCACAAATTTTAAATATAGCTCAGTAAGTTTTTGCCTGTGTTCACACACACAACACACACACACACACACACACACACACACACACACACACACACTCTGATTGTACATGGCTAACCTGGGTTCATTTCCCAGAACCCCATATGGTTCCCTGAGCATAGCATTAGTGATCCCAGCACAGATTCAGGAGTGATCGCTGAGTACCACGAGGTGTGGTTCCCCACAAAGGTAAATATAAATATATTAGTGACATATATACATATATATATACATATATATATATATATACATTGATAAATTATGGGGCTGGAGCAATAGCACAGCGGTAGGGCGTTTGCCTTACAAGTGGCCAACATGGCCAACCCGAGTTCGACTCCTCCACCCCTCTCGGAGAGCCCGGCAAGCTACCGAGAGTATCTCGCCCCCACGGCAGAGCCTGGCAAACTCCCCATGGCATATTCGATATGCCAAACACAGTAACAACAAGTCTCATGATGGAGATGTTACTGGGCCCGCTCGAGCAAATCGATGAACAACAGGAGGACTGTGACCGTGACCGGTAAATTATGTATACAGACTCTTAATATAAAAATGTAAAAAGTCAGTCATGCTAGACCTAATCTGGCAGATTACAAATGAAACTGGTGAGATTGACCCACTGACCTGCTGACCTGCTGACCCAGAAGCCTGGACAGGAGTTGTGAGACAGGATATAGGGTCAAAGAGTCAAGGACTATGCCTCAATGCTAGGCAAAAGACAGAATACAGCTGTAAATCCCCAGGAGGGGACTTGTGTACACTAGACTATAAGAGTGGCCCTCTTATCTCTTCTCCTTAGATCCACTTCAGGATTTCAGGATGCTTTTGAGAAATATCTCTACCCCCAAAATAATTCTTATGAATTCATAACCTCCAACTGTTTTTGCAGTTTTCTTTTCCTTATAGACTTGTTTCTGATCCTATCTGATATTTTATTTTCTAACAAATTTTGAAAAAACAAGATTCTCAATGTTTTTTGGCTGAAACATCCTTTTAAGACTGTGAAGAAAACTACGGCTTCTTCCCTTGTCCCCACAGTATTACCTATGCAAATCTATAATTGTAAAATTTGGCATACAATATTATAAGTCTCTACAGAAAACCTACCCACTTGTCTCCAGTTAAGTAAAACTTCTGGCCAAGTTCACTCACTTCTCCAAGGGGATGACAGCGCTGTGAAAGCAAGGTCTGCTATTTCCTCATGGCTGCCTCTCAGCCTGGTGTTCAGTGCTTCACACGTTCATGACTGCTCAGTATTGGCTAAATGAATTGGCGATTGATATGTGTTCTTGGTTTTTATTTCAGGTCATAATAATAGTGCCTTTCTATGACTGCTATGCGCCCATGGTGAGAATGGCTGGAGCCACACCTGTTTTTGTTCCCCTAAGATCTGTAAGTTTGCCAAAGTAAATCACATGCTTCAAGAAGTCTCAGAAATATGAGTATCTTTATTACTTTGAAATAATTTTTTGTTTTAATTTGAGTTTTTGTTGTTGCTAATAAAGTGCTACTTGCATGATATAATATAATATATATTTTAATATATCGATGAACAATGGAAGGGCAATGCTAAAAAATACTGCTTTTTTAATATATAATATATTTTAAAATTTAATATAATACAGTATTACTTTTTTCTCCTGAAAATTTTATCAAAATAAATAACAGTAAAGTTATCAGATTTTCTCTCATCTTAAAAGTTTCAGACATGGCAGGGCTGGAGCAATAGCACAGTGGATAGGGAGTTTGCCTTGCATGCGGCCAACCCAGGTTTGATTCCCAGCATCCCATATGGTCCCCCAAGTACCGCCAGGAGTAATTTCTGAGTGCAGAGCCAGGAATAACGTCTGTGTATTGCCGGGTGTGAGCCAAAAAGAAAAAAAAAGAAAAAAAAAGGTTTCAGATATGTTCTCCAGAGTTGCAGCTGATATCTTTCATAAATAAAGGCATTTCAGTAGTAGTTAATGTGGACAAAGTTTGGGGTCAGAAAGATAGTGCAGCAGATAGGGTACTTGCCTTATACACAGCCAATCCAGGTTAGACCCCCAGTACCCAATATGGTTCCCAGAACCTGCCAGAAGTACTTTGTCAGCACAGAGCAAGGAGTAAGCACTGAGCACTGCTGGGTATAACTCAAAAGCGAAAAATAATAAATAAATAACATATGTGGACAGAGTTTATTATTCCATTTAGCATGAAACTCGTATTTGCTATGGTTCTCCGGGCAGAACTAAATTTTAGTTGTTTGTTTTCTTTGTCAGTCAGATCATCAGTTACATTTGCCATGTCTGTGGGTTTTTTTTTCTTCATTATTTATTTGTAAAATAGAAAACAAGTATTAGTTGAGTTAAATCACAGCTTTGTTTTTCATACTTAGAAATCTGTTGCTGGGGAAAAACGATCTAGCTCTGACTGGAAAATAGATCCTAAAGAACTGGAAAGTAAATTTAATTCCAAAACCAAAGCTATTATACTTAATACTCCACACAACCCCATTGGCAAGGTGAGTGGGTCTTTGAACTCTTTATGCAATCTTCTGACCTATCATTTTCTTGCATGTTGAACAGTAATTGACTGCCCTTTTATTTCTTTTAATACATGTAGGTGTATACCAAAGAGGAACTCCAAGTAATTGCTGACCTTTGCATCAAATATGACACACTCTGCATCAGTGATGAGGTGTATGAATGGCTTGTGTATACTGGACATAAGCATTTAAAAATAGGTACCGATTATTACATGGAGTCACAAATCTAAATGTGTTTTGGCACATGTGAAGCAGCTGATGGGAAAGGGTCCCAGAACAGCTTTAAAATAGTCTTTGTAATGCTATCTGTGTGAGCACCTAAAAATGGCCTTTGAGTGAATGATAGCTGAGTACATTAATGGACTGATTAAAGGACAAATGATAGAAACTGAGGGGAAGAGATTTTGTCATACTATAAAGCTATGAAATTAGAGTTGTATTACTTTAGCTGTGTCCGTTGTTGTTGTTGTTTTTGTTGTTGTTGTTGTTTTGAGGGGTAGGTTTGAGGCTTGCAGCCATAGCCAGCAGTACTCAGGGCTTACCCCAGGCCCTGCACACAGGGATCACTCTTGTTATTGGTCAGGGGATCATAGGATGCTGGGGAATCGAATCCAGGTTGGCTGTTACAAGGTAAATGCCCTACCCTCGATACTATCACTCTGTCTCCTGTCCTTGGCTTTTTAGCCAAAATTCAGTTATTGCTTGATAAATAAGATACAAGAAGTAACTTTCTCTTGACCAAGACTGTCTCTGCTGAGCAAGTTACCAAAATACCAAGTCAATTGGAGAAAATAATAAGGAGCTTAGATGATTGTTGTATCATTCTTGTCTGATTTTTTTCATTTTTACTGCTGAGCTATTTGCAAATGCCAGAGTGTCGTCTTCTTCTTTTTATTTTTACCTCCTTTTTTTGCCACACCCAGTGGTCTTCAGGGCTTACTCCTCGTTCTGTGCTGAGAGATCACTTCAGGTGGCACATGGGGGACCACATGTGGTACTGGGAATCAACCCAGGTCAACTGTGTGCAAGGCAAGCATCCTATCTGCTGTTCTATTGCTCCTGCTGAACCAGAGTCTCTTCTGAGATCATCCAGATTCAAATCAATGATAGGATCACAAGTGGACTTTAGACTTTGGGTCTTTGCAAATTGCCTTTCCAGTGCCTGGAGGAAATTGCGTTTCCTGGGCCCTCCCTCCCAAATACACACAGTCCTCCATCACTCACCTCATTTTTTTTTTTATTGTTTTGATATACCCCCAGATGGGACTCAGTTTTCATGACCATGACATCTAGGATAGGCACAATACTCCTTCCAGTATTTCTTTTAAGCTTTTTCAGTTCAATTTAATTTTTCCTGCATAGCAACTACCAGGCTTTATATATTTTATCTCTAAGCTTTAATAAATAAGGATTTGGGAGCTGGAGTGATAGTATAGTGGGTAGGTTGCTTGTCTTGTATGCAGCCAACCCGGTTTTAATCCCTGGCACCCTGATGGTCCCCTGATCACCGCTAGGAGTGATCCCTGAGTGCCAAGTCAGAAGTATACCTTAAGCATTGCCAGGTGTTGTCTAAGAAACTATAAAACTATATGTGTGTGTGCATTACCTTTCTTTAGTGTGTGTATATGTGTGTGTGTGTGTACTAAATACTTCTGTTCTATTCTCTGCATGGCAAAGGCCTATATAGTTTCCAAGTCCTGAAACTTTACAAGCTGCAGAAAACTACTCTGAGCTTCTATCCTGAAATACTACTCCAATACTCTAATACTGCTGCTGTGAGAGTATGGATCTAAATTTACAGTTCTTGTTTTGCTTGTGTCCTACCCCCAGCTAGAATTAAGCTCTTTGGAAATAGAAGCTGCCTCTTTCTTGTCTGTTTCCTCTAGAGCTTGTTCAGTCCATCAGTCCATGTTGCCTGATAGTTGCTAGTAAATGTTTAATGAGTGAAAGAATGAATGACTTTATTACATATTATTAATCACAGAGCCTAGCTATAGCATAGCAGGTAGGGCATGTACTGGGAAGCTTTGATTCCTGGCACCATCTGGTCCCCAAGCGAGCTGAATACAGCCCTGGAGGCCCCAGCACCCCATGATGGCCCGAGTAATTCCTGCACCCCAGAGCCTGAGCAACATCATATCCACTAATAGAAAGATTATCTCTTGAAAACCCTTAACATTCATTTCTCATTACTCCTATAATCTGTATCATTGTAAATCCCTTATTAACACTTGTGGCACTTCATTTGATGACCTGCAAATGGACAAAAATCTGAGACATCCCATATGCATGCTTCCAGTTAAAGTCAAGCACTGCAATACAGCCTTCGTGTTTCACTTTATACTCTAAGCAGGTGTTCATTTCATTATGGTGTAGTTGTTTGAAAAGGTCCCAAAACACAGTGTCAGGCACTGTCTAATGTCTCAAAGTACATAAGAGCTATGGTGTACATTATGAAGAATATACATGCCATTCAGTCACAGATTCTAATGCTCTTGGCCATGGAATATTAGGGATTTATATCTAAAAGTTTCAAGGTTAGAAAAATTGTTTTAAAATTGATATGGTAATGGTTGCATAGCTCTGTGGATATACTTTTTTAAATCTTTGATTATATATCAGGGAATTTATAGCTTAGTGACATTATTGATGAAACATGCATACACGTATAAGCAAGAGCACACACATCGATTTCTGGGCCCTACCTGTTTTTTATTTTATAGGTCTGGATTGTAGACCAAGAATGTGCCTTTTTCACAAGTTGCCAAGTGAGGTTGACATTGCTGATACCGCAGTCACTTTTTATTGTTTTGGGGCCACGTTTTGTTGCTTTGTTGTTTTCTGGCAGTGCTCTGAACTGGCTCTTGGCTCTGTGCTCATGAGATCGAATGCGTTCCTGGGGATCAAACTCAGGTCGGACACATGCAAAGCAAGTACCCACTGTACTATCGCTCCAGCCCCAGCAGCAATCATATTTTAAGATCTGTTACTCTAGAAATCCTGTATAAGTAGACAAAGAAAAAGTGGTAGGCTAAGCAGTAGCCAAGAATACAACCAAAACCATGTCACAGAATGATAGTATCAAACATGTAGCCAAAACGAGCAGTGTGTACTGACTACCCTTGCTGATGAGACAGCTTTATTGACCCACTCAGAACTTGACCTGTTGACCCCTTTGCCACTCCCACCCCTGAAATAATTTTGCTACTTAAGATTAGTAAGGCTATATTTTACTTTGATGTGAAATTAATATCTTAAAGCATAGTCACGTTTTAAATTTGCTCTAATTCTAATTTAGTTATATTATCTTTCTTAAAACCTTTGAAATACCCATACTGATTACACCATAAAGCATTGATTTGTATTGAATTTGTGTGTTTTGTGTTTTTAGATTATGCTAAGTGTAGCTTGATATTTTTCCCCCTGTTCAGCCTCTCTTCCAGGTATGTGGGAGCGAACAATCACAATAGGAAGTGCTGGAAAGACTTTCACTGTTACTGGCTGGAAGGTCAGATGAATAAGAATTTTTTTGCTTAAAATAGGCATGTATCTTATTTTTTAGTAGAGTGTTTTAAATGCATATAGATTCAGTTTGTACAGGTCTTCATGCTTAGTGATCTTTTACTTCTTACTTAGCTTTTATGTTGTCCTTTATTCTTTTTACGATCTAATCATTCCCTTAAAAGAAAGAAAAGTAGGTAATTATCAGTTGACAAGTTGCCACTTACTGACAGCTTTGTCTTTGCCATACTCTTAGATTACTGCATTTTAATATTAGAGGAAAAAAATAATAGCAAACATTTTGGCACTTACTATGTACCAGGATTAAGTGCTTTACATTAAATGATTCATGTTCATAACCACATTATGAGGTGTTATAATTTATTATTCCCATTTTACTGACAATAAAACTAAAGTACAGATACATTAAGTGACTTGCCTGAGGTCATACTATATTAAAGTCAAACCAGGACAGAATATCTAGCGGCTAAATCCATACATCTAACCACTTTACTATGTATAAGATGGCATCAATTTATCCAACTGAAACTTGGTTATCCTCTAACCTTACCTGCCTAGAACTTGCTAAAGAAATGGGGAATACCAGAAAGAAAGTGTGCAGAACCAAATTGTGGAAAAGTTTCATAGGCCCTCTTTGAGTTACTTGTATCTGTGTGTAGTTTAAACAATATACCATTAAACAATGGTGGTTTAAACAAGCATCATTACTGACTTTTAAGCCTCCAGACTAGCAGAGGTAGCAAGAAGAAGAAAGAAAGTTCATTCAGATGCTGTGTATCTTCTGATGACAGAGTTTACTGATACCTGTTGGCAGCTTTTACACATTAAAAAGCTTTGAAATTGTACTAAACACTAAAATTAAATTACTTTCATAGTATAAACTAGATTACATTTTTTGATAATTTCATTAAGCTTAGCTACTTTTTCAAATTTGGTATATACAACTGATTGATTTATTTTAAATCTACTTTTTTCCTTTTCAGCTTGGATGGTCCATTGGTCCTCATCATCTGATAAAACATTTACAGACAGTTCAACAAAATACCATTTATACTTGTGCAACTCCTTTACAAGTTAGTGTTATTTCAAACAACGTTTGAAGTATGGTCTTTTGTGAAGGGATTATATTTATGCTTATATTTCAGTTGGTTTAATTCTTCTATTCATGTCCCTTCTTCAACTGTACCTTCTAATAAAATTTGTCCTTTCTAATATAATTTGGGTAGGGCATTTTCTCACAGGTAGGGTATTTGCCCTGCGCACTGCCGACCCAGGTTCAATTTCTCCATCCCTCTCAGAGAGCCCGGCAAGCTACTGAGAGTATCCTGCTTGCAAGGAAGAGCCTGGCTAGCTCCCTGTGGTGTATCCGATATGCCAAAAACAGTAACAACAAGTCTCACAATGGAGACGTTACTGGTGCCCACTTGAGCAAATCCATGACAAACGAGAGGATAGTGCTACAGTGAAATATAATTTGGGAGCAGACTCCTACTCATTCTTAATAGGAATTAACTGGAGTGGCTGGGTGTTAGTTTGGGGGTTTTTCCTGTGGATTGTAGTGCTCAGGAATCAGTCCTGGTGGTACTTTGGGGGCCATGGGATGTCAGGGATTGAACCCAGGCCAGCTGTGTGCAAGTCAAGTACACTACTTCCTGTACTATCTCTGCTAGCCCTAACTTACTATTTTTAATAGAGTAAGTCTTAACTTTGAGAACTCATACATTGCTGGGGCGGGGAGGTCCTGAATATTGCAAACTCTTATACCACCACTAAGCATAATCATAGATGTGAAGCTCTGTGAAACAGCCGTCCATCTTCTAGAATCTGGCCTATAGCTATTATATACATATGTATAAAGGCTCTTTTGTCCATGATCATTTATTATAGAAGATAGTTCTAATCTGTATCTGTAAATAAATGGTTAAATAAGTTAGAGTTTACCCAAACATTCAAATATGATCTCACTGTAGTAGCTTCTTCTTCTCTAATGTTGCCACAGAAAGTTGCTTTTAAAACATCAAACATTTTTATCTTACAGTTCTGCAGGTAAGCAGCTTTGCAGGGTACATACAAGGTATTGACATCACTACACACCTTCTGGAGATTCGCAGAGACTGGTTCCTTGTCCTTTCTAGAACCCAGGGACTATTCTTGACTTCATAGTAATTTCACTACAACTTCTGCTTCTGCTAACTCGTATCCTGAGATTCCAACTCCTGCCTCTCTCTTTCACTTATAAGGATCCATTGTGACTGCATTACACACAGATAATCCAAGACCATCTCTTTATCTCAAGATTCATAACTTAAACCACATTTCAGAGTTCCTGTTACCATTCAGGGTAACATTTACAAAGTAGGAGTTTTGAAACACGAACATCTTTCAGAGGTGATGGTCATTATTCTAACACAATGACGGCTTTAAAAGTAATACAGAAAGAGAATGACTTGCTTTATTGCAATAAGCACTTTTTTGAACTGGTTTAGAACTGATCCGTTCAGTGTCTCCCAGATATATCTATATTCATGTGTGCCTTGGTTCCATTTGTTAACCTGATCCTGCTGCCCTCTCATATCTGATCCTAAATAATATCGTTTCAACCCTCCCTACTTACTTTCCTTTTTCTTCTCATAGAAAAGCTATTCAAGATACATGCATATAATTCCTATGGCACTTCAGCCCCCTTCGTGGTATATGAATTATTAGAGCAGGGATTTTCATGCCTCTGTGGAATGACAAAATAGGTGTACTTTCATTTCCACTATATTCTCTAAGGTAATAAGGAAAAGCTGGGTAATTCATCATAACTCTGGTTATTTTTTAGACTCAGATTTAACAAGTCATTCTACAGTTTCCCTAATTAGAAAATAACTTAAGGAGACTGAAGCAATAAGATAGTGAGTAAGACAGTTGCCTAGCATGTTACTGATCTAGGTCAATCCCTGGCATCCCATATGCTTCACTGGGCACTACCAGAAGTGATTCCTGAATGCAGATCCAGGAGTAAGCCCTGAGCACTGTTGAGTGTGTTGAGAGAGAGAAAAGAAAGAGGAAGGAAGGAAGGAAGGAAGGAAGGAAGGAAGGAAGGAAAGGAGGGAGGGACGGAGGGAGGAAGAAAGCTCCAAAAAAGAAAAAAGGGGGAGGGTCTGGAGACATAGTACAGTATAGTGTTTGCCTTGCACAGGGCTGACCTGGGTTCTACCCCAACATCCCATATGGCACCCCCAGGTATTACCAGGAGTAATTCCTGAGTACAGAGCCAGGAGTAACCCATGATCATCTCTGGGTGTGCTCCAAAGCAAAAAAAGAGAGAAAGAAAGGCATATATAAAAGAAGAAAAGAAAGAGAGAAGGAGAAAGAAAGAAAGAAAGAAAGAAAGAAAGAAAGAAAGAAAGAAAGAAAAGAAAGAAAGAAAGAAAATAATGGATAAAATGAAAGAGTACTGGAGGAGAAGAAAAAAATTTTGTGCTTTCAAGTCATCTTTATATAAAACTTATTTCTCAATTTGGATTTCCATGGTCAATTCTCAGTTCACATTAGATCTAATCATTTGATATATCTGATTCTTCTGTTATTCTATAGTTTTGATTTTGATTATTTTGGATGCTCGTAGTACCAAATGGGAAATTAGGGATCAACTCTGAGTCTGTTGCATGCAAGGCAAGCATCCTAACTTCTGTACTGTCATTCTGGCTCCAGTTAATCCAAGTTTGATAAAGATGTATAGGAATTAACTAATTACTCAAAAAACCATTTTGCCATATTATTACCAAACTATCTTCATTGATTATACCAATAGACTTGACAGTAAATAAATTATGATTTTTTTTCTCCACTTTTGCATGTAACATACAGGAAGCCTTGGCTCAAGCCTTTTGGATTGACATCAAACGCATGAATGAACCAGAGTGTTACTTTAATTCTCTACCTAAAATGTTAGAAGTAAAAAGAGATCGGATGGTGCATTTACTTGAAAGTGTGGGCCTGACCCCCATAATTCCTGATGGAGGTTACTTCATCGTTGCTGATGTTTCTTCACTAGGTGTGTAAAGTTCTTATTATTTCAAATACAGGGAAGCTCACATGGGAAATTAAAGTAGAATAAAGAGAGACTATTATCAAAATATCTATAGAAAAGTTGATTTCACCATGTCAGTATTTTATTGTAATTTCCTTGATCTTGCATAGTTAGGGAGTCAGTGTTGTTCGGGGAGGGGTCTGTCAGACAGAATTATGATTCACACTTTGTTTGGCCATGTGAAAGAATATATGAACTCTGTATTCTTTAAAATGTCTTTTCTATTGAAGAAAAATAATATTTCTAAAATTGTTGATACCATTGGGGAAGGTTTACCATTTTAAAATATACTAAAGTGAGGAAGTGCCAAACACTCAAGTACCTGCATAAAAAATTTACATTTAGGGGCTGAAGCAATAGCATAGCAGGTAGGGTGTTTGCCTTGTACATGGCTGACCTGAGTTTGTTTCCCAGAATCCCATATCCCCCGAGCACTGCCAGGAGTGATTCCTGAGTGCAGAGCCAGGAGTTACCCCTGAGCATCATTGGGTGTGACCCAAAAAGCAAAAAGAAAAAAACTATAATGTTAATAATAGGAGGGTTTTTTTTTTTGGGTCACACCCAGCGATGCTCAGGGGTTATTCCTGGCTCTGCATTCAGGAATTATTCCTGGCAGTGCTTGGGGAACCATATGGGATGCCGGGAATTGAACCCAGGTCGGTCGCATGCAAGGCAAACACCCTACCTGCTGTGCTATTGCTCTGGCCCCAATAATAGGAGTTTTGAAAGCATAATTTATTCTGTCAAATTAGTCATTCTAAGTAGTTTTAAATGTTTGAAGCTTTGTTTCAGTAAAGTTTATGCCACAGAAGTTGAAAAGTCTTTATTTTCAAAAATAAAACTTGAAAATTTTGCTTTTATAGCAAAAAACAGTAGTTATTATTAAAAGAGAGAGTTTTGGAGTCCTATTGCAGAAAGCTATACTTATCCCCCCAAGTTCCATTCATAGGCCAAAGCCCTTAAGGTTATCAACACTCTGAAGTTTAGAAAAGACTAATCTGACTTTGGGTCCAAATGTACAGCTTCTTCATGAACAGTTTTCTCACTTACATTTTTGCTCTTAGAGTTGAAATCTACAAGATTTTCAGTACAAACTATTTTATTTAAAACAGATTGATTTATGCTTCATCTGCTTTTAAAAAGAATTTGAGTCCATCTATTTTCAATGAACGTGAAGGGAAATGTTTTTATTCTAGACCAAACCAGTATCACATAGGGGGAAGCACTATACTTGGAAGCAAAAACTTCCATCATCTCATTTTATAAAGTACCGTAATTGACTCTAATTGGAGTCCAGAATTCATGAGAGCAAAGGCAAATAGAAAACTCAGTTATATAACTCTTGGCTAACAGAAGACTTTTTTTTAGATAATAATCTTTTTAGATAAGAATAATTATTTGGGGGCCAGAGTGATAGTACAGAGGATAGGGTACTTGCCCTGCACCCAGCTGACCCAGATTCAATTCCCTGCACCCCATACGGTCCCCTGAGCTCCACCAGGCGTGATCTCTAAACAAAGAGCCATAAGTCAGCCCTGAGCACTGCCAGGTGTGATTCCAAAGGAAACAAACAAACAAAAAGAATGGTTCTTTTCTGGATCTTAACATTTCCTGAGAGTAAATTAAATTCTAAAAGGAATTTATCCTATTGTGACATCAAATGAGACAGTGATTCAGCTTTTGGTTGAATAGTTACATCAATTAGTTTCATTTTTAAAGAGTTTCTCAATTTGTCCTTAGCTGATATTTCCTGCTCCTGGTATTCAGTTAATTCCTAGATATGGAGCTGCTGTGGTTAGAAAGCCTTTCCTGATGATGGAAAGGAAAATATTTTTTCTTCATGGACCTCTTTCCCCTGGTCTGAAAGTAATAGTGTCTATATAAGCACTGTCCTATGTATGGACAGACAGATCTTTTAAAAAAAATCATTTTCTTTCATCTACTAAGAAAGTTTACTTTACCGGTTGCTAAAGACATAAACAGACCAAAAAAAATGTTTGGAACTTTTTATTTCTAAAAAGCTAAAATTGGGTCGGAATGATAGCGACAGCACAGCGGGTAGGGCATTTGCCTTGCGGCCAACCCAGGTTTGATTCCCAGCATCCCATATAGTCCCCTGAGCACCGCCAGGAGTAATTCCTGAGTGCAAAGCCAGGAGTAACCCCTGTGCATCGCCAGGTGTGACCAAAAATGCAAAAAAAAAAAAAAAAAGCTAAAATTGAAAGTAATCCATACCATTCATGAATATAGAAATTTCTTCCCTTTATAATTCATATCAATGAGTGCCTGCTTAATCTTCATTTATGATATACTACGCAGAGTGTAAAGAGCTTCATAAATAATTAGATCTTGGGGCCAGAGAAATAATGCAGCAGGCAGAATGATTGCCTTGCACATGGCTGACCCAGGTTCTATCCCCAGAACCCCATATGGGTCCCCAGGCACTGCCAAGAGTGATCCCTAAGTTCAGAGCCAGAAGTAAGCCCTGAGCACTGCTGGTATGGGCCAAAATCCATACAAACAAAAAGTTCTCACAAAACTACGTAGGAGACTGATGATATTATGTCCCTAATATTAGATAAGAAAGATGAAATAGAGAATTGAGGAATCTACTGAAGTTAATCAACAAATAAATAGCAAACTGGGCTCTGATCCTAGAGTCTCATACAACCTATCTTTTATCTTTTTTTCTACTGTGATCACCAACTTTCCACATCAGTAAGCTTCCTCCTATAAACATAAAAGGGAACATTTGATTTGAAAACAAAATGATGAATAAGGAGATTAATATAGTTATTCCAGTGAGATAATAAGGTCTAAAATGCAATAATCAGTGTTGGTTTTCATAAATTTCTTAAACACTAATGCTTTTATAATATGACTCAAATTCTTATCACCAATAAAGAACTATTTTATGTAGTTACTTTTTTGGATGTGTCTTAGGTATTCAAAAGAAATAGATCACCGCTTTCTTCTCACTAAAATTCTATTTACTCAGTCCTTTCTTAACCACATGGCAATAAATCCTCCTTTTCTTTAAACTTTATATCAATAAATTTGCCACTACCTGAATGGAACTGGTGGGCATCATGCTAAGTTAAGTCAGTCAAAAGGAGAGGGATACAGCGAGACTCTCATTCATAATAGAAAGAACAACACACAGTTTCACAGACAAACAACAGCTCAGGAACTTCATAGACTCAAAACCGTGGTTACAAGAACAACTAAATGGGCTACTTTAAGGCAAGAAAGGCCCCTCAAATACACCAAATTTCAACAGAACAATGGGACAAAATCCCATAACAATAATCTCTCTCAATGTCAATAGGCTAAACGTACCAATTAAAAGATATAGAGTGGCAGGATGGATTCGAAAATTGAACCCAACATTCTGCTGCCTGCAAGAAACACATCTCAATAGTCAAAGCAAACACAGACTCAGAGTCAAAGGCTGGAAAACAATCCTACAGGCAAACAGCTCCCAGAAAAAAGCTGGGGTAGCCATCCTAATATCAGACCACATCGATTTCAGAGTGAGGAAGGTCATAAGAGACAGTGAAGGCCATTTCTTATTGATCAAAGGATCTGTACAACAGGAAGAACTTACAATAATAAATGTATATGCACCTAATGAGAGACCAGCAAAGTACTTAAAACAACTACTCATAGATTTGGAAAAAGACATCAATAGCAACACAATACTAGTCGGAGACTTCAACACTGCTTTGTCACCTCTTGATAGATCAACCAGACTCAAGCTTAGCAAGGACATACTTCATCTGAAGGAAACAATGGAAGAAAGGGACTTAGTAGATATATACAGGAATCTTCATCCACAAAAAGCTGAATACACATTCCTCTCAAGCGTACATGGAACATTCTCCAAGATAGACCACATGCTGAGCCACAAAACATGCCTCCATAAAATTAAGAAGATAGAGATTGTATCAACAATCTTCTCAGACCATAATGCGCTGAAATTAGCAGTAAATCACACACAAAAACAGAAAACTAAATCAAACACCTGGAAATTAAACAGTGCTCTATTGAACAACGAGTGACTTAGACTGGAAATCAAAGAGGAAATCAAAAGATTCCTAGAAACGAATGAAAATGAGAACATGAGTTACCAAAACTTATGGGACACAGCAAAGGCTGTGCTAAGAGGAAAGTTTATAGCTCTACAAGCATTCCTCAGGAAGGAGGAGCGAGCACACATAAGTAACCTAACCTCACAGCTTAAGAGCTTGGAGAAGGACCAAAAAAAGGAGCACAACCCGAACAGGAGAAAGGAAATAATAAAACTCAGAGCAGAGATTAACGAGATGGAAACCCAAAAAACAATCCGAAAGATCAATGAAACCAAGAGCTGGTTCTTCGAGAAAATTAACAAGATTGATAAGCCTCTAGCAAAACTCACAAAGAAAGGGAGAGAGAAAACCCTAATAAACCGAATCAGAAATGAAAAGGGGGTCATTACAACAGAAACTACAGAAATTCAAAGGATCCTCAGGGAATACTTTGAGAAGCTTTATGCCACGGAACATCAAATCTTCGAGGAAATGGATAAATTCCTAGACTCCTACAGACTCCCAAGGCTGAACCAAGAAGACCTGGAATACCTGAACAGACCTATCACCATCAAGGAAATTGAAATAGTAATAAAAAGTCTCCCCAAGCACAAAAGTCCTGGCCCGGATGGATTCACTAGTGAATTCTTCCAAATCTTTAAAGAGGACTTACTCCCAATCCTCTTTAAGCTTTTCCACGAAATTGAAATATCAAAAACACTTCCGAACAGTTTCTGCGAAGCAAATATCACACTATTACCAAAAGTAGACAGAGATACCACAAAGAAAGAGAATTACAGACTGATATCCCTGATGAACACAGATGCAAAGATCCTCAACAAACTACTAGCAAATAGAATCCAACTACTCATCAAAAAGATCATACACCATGAC